CAATCCAATCCACAAAAGTCTACTACGGATAATTCTAATTGTAAGCCCGATAATTTATTTTCATTTGAATTAAATATAATCTGCACGCGACGTGATAAAAAAAATATCGTGCTGTTGAAACGGATATGATATTAATAAAAACAAAACGAGGAGAAAAACTACAGAGAACAACGTGTAAAATAATAATTCTGTCGTAATATCTCCGTAAGATCTTTGCATGGCGATTCGTGCACGGAAGCACACGATTAGTAATACAATTAACGTCCCGTCAATTACCCGCCCATATAATGTCCTGTTCACACGATTATCGCAACGAGACTCGGTTGTCTCGCACTTGCATAATTTGTCGCATGCGCCACGCCACCAAACCGACCCCTCCCTCTCCTTCCTCCTTCTGCAACTCTCCAGACGTGATCGCGAATTTCATCCCTCGTATTACACCCCCCTCCTTGCGAATATTCTTAGCTACAAGTGATAAAGATATTCTTGCTTCATCCAGTGATAAGGATATCAGAAGAACTGGTAAGGTAAAGTTTAAGTTTTCTATTGTACTTTATTTAGGAGTGTTTTAAAGTTTGAATTTCCCGCTGATTGTCAACCTTTTTAATGTCTAATGTCCTTTTAAAGAAATGTCTATAAAGGGTTGTGAGAAATTTTTTGGAGAGAGAGATTCTCTTTGAAATATCTCGAGTCAATATCTATTCCTGTAATTGTAATTGTAAAGGGAAAAATTCAAGTTTGCATATAGGAGATGTGATGATGAGGGAAGATCAGGAATTCATGATTATACGCGTATGTGACTTGTTAATAGAATGGAATGCAAATCAAGCAGGGTGGCGTTTCGAATTTGTATTCGAGCAAATAGATACGGTTAATCGCTATACGGTAGGCTCTCACAGTGACCTAATGCTAATGCGTGAGTGAGAGCATAGCTATATTGCCAGTATTCAATTTACGGTGTATATGGTGTCTAAAGTGTTTCTCGTCAAAATTGAATTGGAAATTTCTGAGTTCTGAGTTTTTCGTTCTCGTGATTTCTTTGATTTCGCAATTAGGATTTAACAAGTAAGGTACAATGTGATTTTGGATGATATTTTATTTTAGTTGTAAGAGTTGTAACGACTTGTCCCAGTTCGTCGTCGAATCATTAATTTTTCAAACGTTCATGGTTTATTAGGGTGAAAACTTTCAACTATCAGGTACTCGAATCAATTTTATCGAGTTACTGGCCATTAGTTACTGGCGATGGAATCTTGTAAATAGGTTCGAACTTTATTTGATTGGATTCGAACTCTGGATGAAAGGATCAATTATTATACATTTTAAAAATATATTATATGTATATATTTCTTGTTATTAAATATATTTATTCGAAGAAAAAATTATTATGACTTTTAAAGTATTGTACTATTATTTGTAAATTCATTGATTAATGAAATAATTTAAAAAAAACTATCATTGTATATCTTAATATCCTAATCTTAATATCCTATCCTACAATTTCCATTTAAATTTCATTATAATTTCTATTTACCAAAAAAGAAAAAATTATATTTTATCAAAAAGCTTTTTCCAAATAATTATAAAAATTATCTCGCTTAATAGAATTTATTTAAATTTCTTCTAATTACCCAATTGTCGAATTAAAAAAATAAACTTTCAAAAATTTCAAAAATTAACTTTACCGATATACCGAAAAACATTTGTTACCGATCGAGTCAATCGGATTCAATTTTCAGGATAAAAGGAAACTTCTTGATTGTTAATACTTGCCGAACATTTAGTTTCCACGAAATATGTACCACGCTCTCTCGAACCATTCATCAAAAGCGAATATTCAAGACGAATTCGACGTTACAAGCACTGCATTAGATACTATCGTTCCAAGTGATTTCGCGGTTGCATAGTACATGCTAACGTCTGCACATAGAAGTGTGCTTTGCTATAGTGTGCGGTCGCTTTCATATTGTCACGCGAGCATTCATTCGATTAAGTTCGCTATGCGAGCGAAAGACGGGTAGACGATTACGTAAGCCTAAAGAGTTGGGCTCGTTAACGGAATCGATAATACCATCCTAATCATCAATCGTTGCTCTGTTCCTGGTTATTTAACATGCACGTGTCTATTGTTTGTAGTTAATTAGCTTTTCGGTAGAGAATACGTGCAATTAGCCTCTAGTGATGGGATCAAGGATCATATAGGTAAGAGTAAATTACGATTGTTAAAAGATATTGAATTGTATGGTATTATGATTAATAGTAAATTGCAAAAGAGATTATGAATATTAAATCAGTAGTGAATCGATAGTGCTGGGTTAATCGTAATTTACAAATTTAATTTGCGAATAAATTGTAAATGTATGTTTTATTAATGTGCAAGATAAATCTTTGTACTAACAACTGAATATATTAAAAGTAACATGATATTGATATTTGATCATCCATCTGTCTGACTAATAATAGATTCGTTTCTAATTTTTTGAAATAATATTTTGAGTTTGGGATCTTTTTTTATGATAATTACAATGGTTAGATTACAGTTTGATATGTGAAAAGACTATTGCTTTTTAAAATTCATTTTTATAACCATCAAAAACAAATTCATTGCTATTTTAAAATAATTACATTTTTTAACTTTAATGAATTAATTTAATATTTTTGATCACAAATGAAAATTCTAATCAGCAGATCAGACTGAAACTTATCTTTAAATCAGAATATTTTGATTCTTTATTACAATATACAGAGATGTTAATATTGACTCTAAAATGGTTCAATCCTCCAAGATTCCATAAAGTGATTACATTCTGTATATATATAAAGATATATTGTAAGTATGTTTGAAAAGTATGGTTAAAGAGAAATATAAAATTTCATCTAGCTTCTCTTTAGCTTTTTCTGTCTTAAACTATAAGTAAGTATAAAGTTTATCAAGTAATCTATAAAACGTACTTTTTATCGTGGAAATCTTAATGCGATTCGAACAAGTTTTACGTATATTGCTCTTTATCTTTGTATCTTGACGAAGAAAAACATTTCTGGAATAACAGAGATACCTCATATATTTCAAAATATTGTGAATTTAAAGAAGATATATCAGTGTACATACATTTTGCTATCAGTAAATAGAAATATGTGTATGGGGAACGAATAAGAATATTCCTGAATATTCCAAGTTTTTTTCATTTCTGTGATATGTTTAATTGGTCTCATTTGCATTTTTAATTCATTATGCAATCTATTATCTAACAAGATCAAAACATACAATTTAGATGAATTCTAATGTTGGATGCAAGAGTCTGAATGATAAATTGAAATTAAAAAAAAAATTTATTTGTCTTGAATATAATTTCGATTATATTATTAATATCATAATAACATAGTCTTTGAACATCAATAAAATAACAACAAAATTTATCATAACTTTGCCAATTTCAAAGATAATGAAATTTAAATTATATTTAAAAAAAAGGAAGAATTTAATTATATATTTTAAAAGATTTGTATGTATTTAAACTAAAGATATATAATATATGCGTTTTTAGTATAATGAATATGTACGAAGAAACGAAACGTATAGTAATGACGGTATACAAAGTCCAATGCACTTGAACTGCATCCATCATTTCTGTGAAATCGCATTAAAATGTTCGTCCTCGTGAAATAATTAGAGCAAAATCGTGTGTATGATATATGAACAGAGCCCTAGTCTCGAAAAGTTACTGGAGCAAGGACTGCTTAACGAGCTACGGAAGCGGAAGGTCTTCAAGCTTTGGCTATTATCTTTGGCCTCTCGATTATGAGTACATCCAACACACAATCGTTACATTGTTACAAAGTATCAAAGTGAACTAAAGCATTATTTCAAAACTGAGAAAAATAAAAAAAGAATCCGAAATAATTTTCATTTTTAATGAAGAAAGTTTTATTATTATTTTCATAATAGAGGCAAACAAATGCGATAAAAATAAATACACCATATATAAAATTTATGCTAATGAAAATAGAAAATATTGAAATTTAAGATTGAATGGATTATATTTATAATTATGTATTTTTACGTATTTTTTTGAAGAGTTGTACACATATGGATATGTATATGATAACCTAAAAAAATCATTTCTAAAACTAAAAGTAAAAAATGTTGAAAAAGAATTTTCAATTTTTTAAAATCGTGAATTTTATAAAATTGATATTTTCTTTTTTTATTTTGTTAAGAAAAATAAAAGGTAATTGAAATAATTTAATTTTTTGTATAATTTAAATGATAATAACATTCACACTCAGTACAATATTCATTCATTGCGAAATAATTTCTAATCTAACCTAACTTAACCAAACTCTCGATAGTTTCATTTTTAAATTTATTCGTAAAATTATTAAGAATTATTTTTCACTAGCAGATATTGTTTAATAAGTTTTACTTTCAGAACGGTGTTTACTAACGAAAAATTACTCTCCATAGCAACTTTTGAGAGTTTTATTCTTAAATTTATTCGCAAAATTTTTGAAAATTATTTCTTACATGAACTATATCAAGACTAACTACCAATAGCTAATAGACTTCATTCTCAATAGAATTAATATATGTTAAATATATGAAAAATTACTCTCAATATTCACTAATAAAAAATTACTTTCAAGAGTAGTTTTTGAGAGTTTTATTCTAAAATCTATCCCCAAAATTTCTGAAAGTTACTTACATTTAAACTCCATAGTAAGGGTAATCATCCAACAGTGACTTTCACTCTCATCTCAGCTTCCACCACAAAATTATTCTTAAGAATAACTTGAGAATTTTAATGTACTTTCACTTCAACATTTCAAAAAACATATCAAAGCACAATCAAAGTAACCGAATAAAAATAAATTAATCAAAAACTCACAATCTGTCGTAGAATAGAAAACGCATAAAGAAGAGTATCGAAAAGATGGTGGTGCATGCGCAGAAAACGTGGCGCGCAGCAAGTCGCATTTTCACAAGCAGTCGGCCTAAAGGCGTCGCAGATCAAGCACGCGAAACACGAGTCGTTCAGTCCTCGGCGAAAGGACACGAGGTTTCGCGGTGTCGACGTTATTCCTAGATAAGTGTTCTTGAAATCCTGATAACTAAATTAAAAAATAAATCAAAATAAATTATAACTTTCATTTACTAAATAATTATTTCAAAACTTTAACACGTGTTTAAAAACAATCGAAACGTTCGTAAAGTAAATTAAACTTGTAATCGTACATACATAATAATGAATCAATGCTTTAATAATTCTAGTTTATGAAATATAGATTCAAAGAAAGATGATACGATCAATCGTCTATGGATAAGATAAACTTCGCGATACGGGAAATTCGATCGTGAAGAAGCATTTCGAGAAGAACTCGAACGTGACTCGACTCGAAAGAACAAGATCGGCAAACTTCAGGATCGACAAACTTTCTTAGATACACGGACATGGCACGTCATCAAGCCAATGACGAGAAATCAATGTATTCTCTTCGATCTTTCCGCGATATCGCGTTCACTTGATTAAACGAAGACATGTGCATATTGTCGTGAATTCGAACGATCTAAAATCTAAAATACGCATGAGATCGATTTTAAGTGCAAATCAGTGAAACCGTTCTCTGCCATTATTACAATAAAAAATTTATTAAATGAAATTTATCCGCCATCCATTTATCGATAACGTTGATATTTTATGAATAAATTGAAAAAATTTCGTTCATAGAAAACTTTTAAAACATTAATCGTGATGTGTCTACAAATTATCCATTGATTTATTCGAAAAACTTTTGGATTTAGATATTCAACGATCAGTTTCTATCAATAAATCGATTTTTCGTATTATTAGAGTGAAGTTGGAGAGAGTTCGATTGATGGAACGACCAGAGGATTTAGTGTCGAGAAAAATGTGCAGAATGTGGTCAGTTTTCAACGTATAAATTGTCTACCAGTTAAAACACGAAGGTATGAGAACATTTTAAAATATTTATTTCTTTTTACGTTATTATTAGATGTAGAAAAAGGGATAAAAAAATCTGTTTTTAAATATTAAATCAGAGACAATATTCATGTTAGTTAATCGATTATGCTATTTGCGATTATGGCGAAATGCTTTGTCGTTGTGTTTCTATGTGCATGAAATCACTATTTCATATTCCTTTCTCGCAGAAATAATTTTGCCAACTATTTCTCGTTCAGACTATCATTCTGAAAGTTTTTGTACTGACGTATCGGCTTTCGATAGTCAATTTTATTGATAATTCACAACACTGAACGGTTTGGATGGGAATCGTGCTTTGTTCTCCATTTTCCGTTGTTCGATGGTTTATCGATAATATGCATTAATCTACGTACATCTATTCCAATTTTAAATTCGCTTGATCAGAATTTCTAGAACTGATTGTGCATGTTCTTCAGATATTCTTTGAGATATATTTCACAAGGAAGGATTTTTATTTATTCTAATGACAGAATAAATATAAAAAAATTGAATTTTTAGGTTATCATCCTTCGTTCTTCTATCATGTATATATATACAAAAATATTAAAAATCTAAAGATTATAAAGTATTTCAAATTTAAGTTTCGAAATTATTATAATTGTTTTATAAATATGAAAATAATATATAGTATTTTTGTAAAAGTTAGTGAAATATTCATGTGAAAATGTAGAAAAATATGATCGATACGAGAAAAGTATTCGAATGTGATCGAATAGATTAATCAAATAATAAATTAATACATATTAAATTTGATCTATGTAAATATGTAAATATATTAATCATATAATTTTAGATTTCATATCGTAATTATTTTTTATGAATAATAATATCTTATATAATAATAATGAATTGTATAAAGTTAAAGTTGTCTTGTAGTTGTTATAATTTTTCTACAATTACATTAAACTTTATTTTATTCTTTAAATGCATATTATATTTTAAATATTTTGTATTTTTTTGCATTTCATATTGTATTTTATATATTTATGTACATTTAAATTTGACATATTCATAATCTATTAGTTATAATATTATCAATTCAAGATTTGAATCTAACATACATATTTTTATTATTTGGAATTTTAAAAAAACGTACATTCGAATATTGTGTCTATATATATCAAATTTCATTAATAAATGGCTTAATATTAGATAACTAAAAAAGTTTTTAGTTCTTTATATATGATAAAAGAATATAAAACAGAATTATTTATAAAATTCATTCAATGCTATTCCATAGATAGCTACAAATGATTGTTGAGACTTGAAATTAGATTTTATAGTGGATTACATTTAAAATTGCGAATTTCTGTGCTTAATTACAATGAAGCACTTCCGAAAAAGTTTCCACAATATTCGTGTTTCTCATTCAATTATCATTCTATTCAGGTTCTCTTTTACATTATTATAATTGTTAAATTTGGACGATTGTCCTCGAAACTAAAAATAGAAAGTATAAAAGAAAAGTTTTTTACATTTCGAAATTGTGACTTTTATAAAATTTAATATTTAGGTATATAATTTTTTTCTTTATAAACCAAAATAAATATTATTATTTTAAAGAATAAAAATTTGTTTTCCAAATTTTCTTGGTCTACTGCTAGTTTTCACATAATGTATGATTTCTGCGATTAAAAAATACATAAAATTTTTCTTTCATCTTGAAAAAAGCGTACTGGTGACAATTGATATACGACGTATAAAACGTTTTTTAACGATGTATGAAATATTCGATGGTCCGTTTAAAGATTAGAGATTGATATAAAAAGTTGAATAATGGTTGATAATCCAAAAGATAGAAGATCTTGGATTTTCACTATTGAGGAACATAAGAAAGAAATCAAAGCTCTTTTACGAAGAGCTTAACGCATCGTTTAACATTTATTGTTAGAAAAGTTTTAGAGGAAATAGATATATCATCTAGTTCATATTAATCGTCGAGGATTAGGTAAAAAAAAAAAAAAAGAATCGATTTTCAAATTTTCAAAGATCGAATCTAAAACTTATTTCTATATTAATTATGTCAACAATTGCAGCAAATAAGCATTTATAATAAAAGTTCTTCGAACTTTTAAATACATTTTCGCATTTCAGTACAATAAATTCGATATTTCGATATCGAAATATTATCGATAGTTGCATAACAACAAATTTTCCCCGTGTATTTATTAAGAGAAGAGGAAAAAGTTCGTGATTGGCACTTTAACGATATCACGCGTCGTCAATCGTAATGAAATTTTAGCCAGAAATCAATGAGTTTCGGCGAATTTATCACGATTTATCACGATTTCCCCTTTCAGGTTAAATTTTCGTCATTTGAAATGACGTCATGAGCATTTGTCGAATTAAATTCCACGAAAAGGGGGGGACGTATCATCATATTTGAACAATTTAAAATGCGCAATCCACTCTACTCGAGCTTTTCGATCGCCATTTACACTTTGTACAACAACATTGACGAATCGTTCATTTTCACAATTTCGTACAGTGGAACCATCACTCTTCGATCGAATATATACAATTTCACGAAATATATAAATATTGAACTTTTTATTTTTTTTATTTTTAATAAAAATGAATATAGTATATAAAATAATAATATAGAATTGTGTATATAATATTTGACATATTTTTATCATATTATTTTCAAAACTGAAGCCGAATGGTTACACGTATGGGGAAAATAATTAATATAAATAATTATTATAAATAGATACGTATAAAGATATAAATATAAAATATGCTCAACAGTTGCATTCTATTTTTCGTAAAAGAAGAAGAATTGTATAAACACATAGAAAAGTGGAAATATTTGATTAAATTATTATTCTATGTAACGATAATTAAGAGTGTCATTGAATCATTGCAATATCGAATGAACAGATATTCAAACGTATACGAAAATAGTGATAAGATTCGAAAGAGTTATAATTAATAATACAGAATGTAATATTAAAATAATATATTTGTACGTAAAAATCCACTTAAAAAGAGATGAAAAGATCCAAAAAAAATGTGCATCGGAGAAAAATTCGTGCTCGATAAAAACTTTTCCGCATTTAATCTGGAAAATTAATTGCAATTTTTCTATACTATACAGAAAATAATCGTGCAATTTTAATTTTTTCCGAACGTTTCCAAATATGATCGGCAACGTTTGCCGATTTCGATTTCGAACATCCTGTTAAATTTTATCCACGAGCAAAGTGGATCCGATAGAACGAATTTCTTATTATTGCTTTTCGCGGCAACGTAGCTTT